GCTCGAGAGCAGCTCGCGAGCTGGATCGAACCGGCTTGTTAATTAATCGAGCTAAAGTACTGGCTTAGCTCGTTCAAAAAGTCAAACGAGCTGAGCTTGAGCCGAACCACTAACAAACAAGTCGAATAAGCTAGCGAGTTACGAGTATTTCATCCAGGCCTAGCGAGGGGCCAGGACCCAGGAGCACGCTGCACACGCCTGGCCCGTGTCCGGGTCCAGGACCAGCGGTCCTTGTGTGCGGTATGTTAGAAAAGTTCATTTATCTCCCTTATTATGTTTTCCCGAAGGTTGATTTGCCTCTTCTATGTTAGAAAACTGGTTTCCACCTCTTTTATTTTATAAAACGGTTCGAATTTGCCCTCATATGGTTTTAAGTGATATTGAATGGCGTGTCAATATGTCAGCTATTTTACATGATGCCACGTCAGCTATGAGCAAGATAAATCAAACAATGTTAAAAATAAGTTTTAAAATTTATCTAATGTTTTTGATAAATATGCAACTAAAATCCTAAAATCTATTTTTTTAATTAAAGGAAACATAGATACTTTTTTAGCTCGAAAAAATGTGAAACCAGGTTTATATTTTTTACAAAAATCATGCCCCTATGTTACGGTGACTAGCTTGAAACTATATGGATTTCATGTGGTCTCTTTTGTTGTTTATCTGTTAGTAGATGCTCTTTGTTTGCTGTTATACAGTCTATGTTGACGACTAAGATCACATAGAAGTTCAGCTTTACTTTGATGGCAAAACACATGTATCATGTAACCACCTCATACTTGATATGATCCTATTTATTTAATATGAACATATATGGCACTGGTACATATGCTTGCTCACTGACAACATGAACACAAAGCAAACACATATCTTGAGATTGATGAATTCGCCTAACCATCTCGTTATTGACAGTTTGCCATATTTTGTGAACTTATTCCACGTCATTCTCTTTATGTGAGTGTATCAATTTTGCTAATAATTCAAAAGTCATTGAACAAAATTCGTTCACATGATTATAAACAACAAACAGAAAACTAACGAGTGTTTTTCTGTGATATGATGATGTCTAGCTAGTGGGGCCTATCCAAGTCAACATAGATTAATTAAAATAGATAACAAGAGCATTCACCAGTAAATAAATACAAAGGGGCATATAGAAGATTCAAATAATGACATGCTAGGTACACATAAGATTGAACATAATTTTACGAAAAAACATGACTGATTTTATATTTCTCTGTGTGAAAACAAATTGTTATGAGTTTTCTAAGATTAGACCAAATTCTAGAATTTTAATTGCACTGCGTCCAAATATTGCTATTTTTTTATATAAAGTATTTTCTATATTTTTAATAAATCTAATTGATCTTCCTCAACTATCATCGTAGTTTGATTTATCTTTATTTATAACTAGCGTGGCGCTGTATCAATCAAAATTGTTTTCAAAACCACATGGAGAGCAAATTCAGATGGTTTAAAAAGTTGAAGGAGGTCAGAAAACTATCTTTTTCTGTTGGAGGAGGTAAATCATACTTTGAGGAAAGTTCGGAGGTGAAAAGGGATTTTATTTTTATTAGTGGGAGGAAGCTGATCATGGCCTCATTGCCATTTCCTTCACGCGTGTGGTAAACAATTCTGGCTGGGCCGGCATTGCGCGGTTTGGGCTGTTGCGTACGGCCGTCTTGGGCTGAAAGATGGAGGTTGGGCCTAAATGGCGCCACGCGGACCAGTGTCCTTCGCGTTCTCATCCGTAGAGTTCCTCTACTACTAAAAAAAAAAAAGATTACACACGCTGACACGCACTCACAATAGACTCTAGAAAATGAGTAAAGAGCTCGATGTAAGAAAGACACACTAGACACAAATGAGGACGTAATTATTCATTGATTCCTGTACATATATATACATTTCATATTTTTCGAAGAGATGTCCTTAAAAAAAGGGTTGATCACAGATAGATTGATTCATAAAATAGTTATTCTGGTTTACCGCTCGATGTACACTTCTTCTTTTTTTATCGGATATAACTTAGACACATACAACCCACACACTCCACACTCACACCACAAACACACACGCTTACGTGTCCATACACATGCAAAAAGAGATTGGGAGGCTCTCTGATCTCTAGTGCATGAAAAAAACACTGTAACACCGAACACATTGATCCCACTGAACAGACATACCACCACTGGACGACAGGCCCATTCACGACTTACATTCCTTACTCCTGAGTCCTGACTGTTTACGTATGGTAATGCATGGCAAGTTTCAATGTTGCATGGACTCGATCTACTGGTGCCATAGGAGGAGGACAGGACAGGACGCAACGAATCGTTGGGCTTGGCGCCGGTGGTTGATACTGTTGTAAAATATACAGATTCTATCTAAAAAGAAATGAGAAGACAAAATTCTAATCCTAGTTCGTTTGTACGTGGATTCTTACTAAAGTTTTAGGCCTTGGTAGAACTATATATATGTGGGAGCTATACGTTGTAATCACCAATATTTCTAGGAATAAAGAATAGTCTCCTTATCTCTTGTGTCTATGTGTTTTACTTTCATCTACTATTTTGATCATGAGAGACGAAAATGGGAAAGTCCTAACCGCTAGCAACATGTTTTATAACACGTTATCAGCATGACAAGCTCTTACATCGACATCGCCGTTGAAGCCGCCGCTGATCTTCGACGCCGCCGCTCATATCGACGTCCCGCCACGACTACTTCGACGACGTCAACATCCCGACATTGTTAGTGGAACGGATTTGCTACCTCTACCTGTAATTAATCTGCACTGCATCGATATGCACTGTCACTGTCAAGCAGGCAGTTCTACAATAATGTCAAACGCCCTGCGCGGTATATATCTACTAATCACTGCCCTATGCGGCAAGTGAAGTATATCAAATTGGCATCTTCTACGAGGTATGAAACGCGTTGTTCCAACCATTGGCATCTTCTACGAGGTATGAAACGCGTTGGTCCAACCATGAGTCAGGCTATTTTTTTTCACTAATTTTTCTACGCGTAGTAGAAAGCCACGTACATGCACGGCATATACCCGCCACGTACTTAGATATGCATGGGATTTTTTGTTTTAATCTCATAAACATGACGGGGCTTTACAAGTTAGGCATGAAGCCAAGACACGCATCCTTGCAGGATACAAACACTCATAGAAGGTGTTGCAAATGGTATTGACTTGTAGTCAAATTGAACGAAGCCGACTCGCTGAAGAAGTCGAACTCAATCAAACCGACATGTTTTATAATACTAGTAGAGTGTCTGTGCTAACGTCACGGCTTCATTTAGGGATATACATAAAAACAACCGTCATATATTGGAAAAATAAAATGGAAAGAATCAGTTCATTTTCAGAGAAATATATAGAATAAATCATGACTTGAGCACGATACATATATTTAATAAAGCATATAATATAATTCCTATGCATCACAAGGGCAATAACCGTTCCTCTCCATATTAATAATTTTCAGATTATAGAAACTGCCAAAACTAAAATTACCACTCTGCAGTCTGTACTGCAGTTTGCTAGGAAGACAACATAGGAAAAATTGCAATATTTCCACAGCAGCTAAAGCGGCACATCGCCATGGCTAAATGTGCAGATTCCACCGAAGCCATGGGAGCGAGGCAGAGACAGAAGGGTACATGAACTGACCAGCAGTACACTCGGCGACGTGAGGATTGAGGAACCACTGGCAGTCCACTTGGCAGCTTCGTGGTTTTCCACCCGTCCACCCGCAGTGAGGCATCGTCATTGTTCTGCTCCTCTGTCCAATCCAATATGCAGCTCTCAAGCTGTAATAGTTGCAAAAGGTTACAGAAGAAGACGGCAAATCCTTACCAACTTGTTGCAGGAAACGAAGCAACAATTCAAGAGAAAAAGAAAAAGCAACGAATCTAGTAGACAAATGGATCTAGTAGATTAGAGAAGAGTATTGATATAGACATATTATTATAGATGTATAGCAAAATAGATATAAAAAAAAGTCAAAGCAACCTATACATAATTTATAAGGGAGAGAGTACCCAGCTGACAACTATCAACCCAAACCAGTTAGTATGAGCTAGCTAACTATTAACAACTAAGGAAACGGAGGTAGTAACAGTACTTATTTTACTAAGTAACTTAACAAACAAATAAATGGCAAGGAATGCTGTATGTAATGTCGGTGGTGGTGTACAAACCTACCACTATCATGACTATCTATCCGATCCTGTGTAAGCTACTCATTCGGAAACATAAACATATACTCCTGCTTTCGAAATTCCACAGTTTCAGATTTCTAACTGAACTGCAATCTTAAGTGTGAATCATGTTGGACTCCACTCTGATTTGTATGTATAAACCAATTCATTCGTACTGCATCTCAGCATTTCAACTACAGTATAACCCAGTTCATTCACCTAATGAATATTTTGTTCGCCAGTTCATCTGACGAATATTTTTTGCAACCAGGTGGAGTTCTGCTAACAAAAGCATGTAGGATTTGGATTCCTCAAGGAGAAGGAACATGGAGTAACAGGTTACTACAGCTTTATCTGAATCGAACTGAATTGTCAGCTTATTGAGATCCAGCTAACACTGCAAAAATTATCAGATTCACACTGGATCAAACAAATAGCAAACAAGAATTACTACTGCAAAATGCTCATAGATTCCGATTTCCGAACAGTGGAAACACGAATTAGTAGAGTATATAGAATAGGAAGCGGATTAGAACAGAAGTTAGCTCCGAACAGTGTATTCCAATCAATATCCTCAGCGGTTCCCCGATTATTAGTAGAAAAAAGAATCTAGCGCTACTGCTTCGTAATCTTTCGATCGTTGCTTCTATATACACTTAAAACCGCACACGCCAGCCACACGCTCGGCTGTGAAGGGAGAGAGGGGAGGACCGAAAAAACAAAACAGAGGACGGATGGACGGAGCAGCAGATTTGACGGGCGCGAGAAAGGGGAAACGGAACCTACGCGATCTTGGCGAAGCAGCCGCCCCCGACCATCATGACCTTGAACTCCTCGAACGAGATGAGGCCGTCGCTGTTCTGGTCGACGCCCTCGATCATGCGGCGGCACTGCGCGACGGAGGCGGACTCGCCGAGGCCCCTGAGGACGCGCGCGAGCTCGGCCCCGGAGATGGTGCCGTTGCCGTCGGCGTCGAAGACGCGGAACGCGTGGCCGAGGTCCTCCTCGACGGCGGCCGCGTCGCCGGCCACCGTCGCGTTCATGATCACGCGTTCATGATAACGTTCATGATCACCGTCTCCTTCTAGGCGTCTCGCTGCATGATCACCCGTCATCCGCTGCCGCATCGACCAGGAGATCGACAAGCCCTTGATCCGAACGTACTAGCTGTCGCAGTACGAGGAAGCGTACCATGCAAACCGTATCGATGTCCGTTATCGCGCTGCATGCGACTCACAGGCTGTCTCGGACTCTCGGTCATGTACGACTGTTATGGTCATGGCCCGAAGCATTATCTACGCCTCGTGACGCCTGCAGCTCACAACCGTATCTCCCGGCTACCAAACCGTTGTCTTCGATTTCGATGCCCATGGACCGTGGCCTGTACGCCGCTACCTCACACCCCTACACTGAACCTCTGCCTCACATGCTCGCATGTTTCGTCATCGGACTGTGGGCCCGCATGCTCGCAGCTCCACGTGGGTAGCATCCCATCGGTATATCCGTGCACAGGCAAGAAACGAGATGGCGTCCGTAGTTGGAACAGGAAACTTGAGCATATATGCATGATGGACCGAAGGGAAACATCGTAATAGATCGAGACCTGAAGTCAACCTACTAGTAATGAATTTTTAAATTCAAAGAAATCGGGCCGGCGTTTATACATATCAACTGTATATGTTCTTATATCCCTTATATATAAGAACTTGCCTACAACTCTAAGTCAGCAACTCATTTTTTTGTTGTTTTGCCTAGTATTTTTCTGAATTAAATAATAGGTTGATTCTGAAAATTTCTATGCTTTCAATTTAATTCAGAAAAATGCTAGTGCAACTCCTCTATAAATTTTATACCATGTAATTACAAGAATTTTTTTATTACACTAGAAACATGGTATAAGGTATATGGGCTCTCTAAATCTTGCAGACCTTAGACTAACCTTTGAGAGGCTCATATTTGTTTTTTCCTAGCGTAAGAATTTTTGGGATGAACGAATACCTGGTATAAATTCTGAAAATTAGCATATACCATAATCCTGAAAAATGCTTGGATGCTTCTAAGAATATTTTGAATAACCGTCCACTACCTTTTTGCACCTTGCTACCTGTTTACATGTAGTAAACTTATATGCACATGGTCCAATTTATGTTAACATATGCATGCGTCAAAAGAAGAAGAAATTTTTTAGAATTACTCTGAATAGTAGAATTATTTGTTATGGTCATTATTAAATCCATGTAGGATTTTTTGTTACCATTGAAGTGTAGTGAACTCAGGATATATTTCCTGATTACTCTCTAGAATGAGTATATGACCAGGAGAAATAACAAATGCATTGTGGGACTCACTACATGAGAAAAATCCTAAATTATGATTGCGGAATATCATCTTACACAGAAAGTTGAATTTTCAAGCTTGTATGCCTATAGATCAAGGTACAATGCTGCTCTAAAAACAATAGCTTGAAGCATTGTATTAAATGTATAGAAGACAAGATGGTAAATAAGATTTTATCAATGTATATTCTCGAAGAAATGTCTTTCGTGTATAGAGTATCAAAGAGCAATGTGATACATGAAGTATTGAATTTATCATCAGAAATTACTCAAATGGAAGTTGAGTTAGAATTTTTAGATAGCTCTATGAACCGGGATATATGACTTGCATATGTTACACTCCTAGAAGGATCATGATTACATATCACCACTATGAAATAAAGCATGCATGAAGCTGCTAAATGTCAAGCATAGAATCTAAGACATGTAAGAATGGGTAATGAATTTTTAAGGTTTCTCTAGAAGAAGAACTTAAACCATGTGCTACTTGTATTCTCTTTAAACTTATACTATATAGAAGTATTAGTATAGTAGTGGTGGTGCATTAAGTTTTAATTCATGTTGAATTAAGTGGTTAATTGTTATTTTATTAGCTTAAAGACTAATATGAAACATTTAATATTCTTAGTTGCAATTCTTACTTGAAATAATATGTGTTTATTTCTCATGGAATAAATTAGATTTATATGTTTCACATATAAACAATTGCCTATTTTTGCCTATCTAAATATGTTTTGCATTAATTTTATCCACAAAGAAGTCTCAATTAACCATGAAGGTTATAGTTCTTTGTGTGTTATTACCATGTAGGTAGAAGGAAAACTGTATTTCCTAGAAGCACATGAACAATTGGACTATACTAGCATATTAATTGATCTTCGAAACATCAATTTAGCCTAGAAACTAGAAGTTTATGTCCTACCCTAAATCCGTTGTTGTACACTGAACAATATACTGGATATGTAAATTTTATGCCACAATAATTGAATACTAGAAGTATGATTGAATTCTATGGAACATTTGAAATTATTATTCATAGATGCATGAAGCTTATTACTACTTGAAGTAATTATGGCATGAAAAGAGGGAGGAATTTTGGGTAAAGACATAAGAAAATGTGGGTAATATATATTTAATAGGCATATCCTTCATAAATCTATCTTTAAGTGCATGTATCAGACTTAAAGTTCTAGCCACGCCCTTTTCGGCCGAAAGTTAATTTTCTCTACATTGCACTAATTGCAAGTAAGCTTGTAGCTTTGCATTTTATTATTATCTATTACATTGGATTGAATATCAACATTCCACGTTACACATGAATGCGTATTACTATGTTGTACTCTCGTTGAGCTGCAACTATCTCCACTCCTACGTAATGTTAGCATAGAAGCTATATTCATAGCTTGTAGCTACTATATTTTCTCTCATAATTAAATTGGCTAGCTAGCACGTTAGTAGTTCTCGTTGAACTAAGAAATATTTTGCTTTCAATGCGTTGCATGCATAAGCATTATATTGGTCTATGGCGAAGTAGCTTAAGATCAGGGGGAGTTGGTTAATATGAAATTAGCTAAATGGAGAAGTGACCCAATTGATGGGATGAATGATTGTGGAATTAAGATGGTGGATAACACACTTAGATGATTTGGGATTTTTGAATTACAGGCATTTGGGAAATTTTGTATTAATAGCAATTAGAAAATTTTAGAAGATATTCCATGTGATTTTGAATGTTGCGTATTTTATTCATTTGAAGTGTATGGTCCATTATTTTTTAATGTATGAGTACTTGGATCAATTTTTTTGGCTAAACAATAAAGAAGCTAGACAATAAAATAGTTTTCTAAACTGTGATATGTGCAAATTAGGGGGAGAACATCCCTGAGTTTGTAGGAATGTTGAACATTCTTAAGTGCACTATATGTATTCTAGCTCGCTGCATTTAATGAATAATAACCTCTGTTTAAATTGTGTGTGAATATTTCCCATAAAACTTCACCATAGCATACATGAATGGGCCTCCACTTGCAGATGGAGATATATGAATTTGAATTATTTTAAGCCCATGATAGGGGATATCTTTTGACGTATGCTATTAAAGATCTAATATTGGCATTAGGCGGAGAGAAAGCCTATTTTGAATGCCAAATATTATTTCCATAGAAGGAAAATGATCTAAAGAAAATATTCCTCGAAGCTTGAAGCAGGAATAATATCACGCACTAAATCAAACAATAGTTTGACTAATACTCTTGTGAAGCATGAAGCAAAGCATATGCCAGATATTTTTGAAAAATGAGAGGAGTAACTTGAAGTTATAAACCAGAAGTTGTGTTTACTAGTAGTAAACTAAATATTATATACTATCAAGTTAAAATCTATGGGGAGGGCTGTGGATTCTAGTTTAGTATATACTTGTGAAATGAAATAAGAACAAACTCCTCTATTCTCATGAAGAGAACACCTCACGAAGAAGGTTAGGCACCTCATGAAGAGGATCATCGTGAAGATGAGATCCAACACACTAAGCGCGCGCATGATTAGAATGAATCATCTCTTGTTTGGGAAATAACAAAGAGATAGAATAATCTCACATTATGAGAATATTGGGAGAAAATAATAGTTGTCGACAATGTTACCTCTATAATTGCAAATGTTTCTCTTATGAAAACCCAGATCCAGAAAACAAAGTCCATGGCAAAATCGCCTGTAGCGATTATATCGGGTCAATGAAGAAAGCAATTGAGGTTAAATCTCCTACTATGAAGAAATAAATGTTCTGATATATCTCTGGCAAATGAAATGAATATGAATATGCAGTTAGTAAGTGGATTCTAAAAATCCATATAGTTCCTGAAGAATAGAAATTGCAACATATGGAAATTAAATCTCATACTAAGTAATAAGAAGTCTAAGGTAGAATGTATATTCCTGTATGAATATTGAAGTCTCAAGAAGAGCTTGTCGTAGAAGGAATAGAGTCATCGAATGACTTTATAGCGAATAACACTATCTCATTATGTATATCTCAGAATAATCTCTCATGCAGTAGAGAATATATCTCGTGGAAGAGAAATATAATTCACCGAAAATAAGAATATCCTTGAAGGAACTAATCCATGAAGGATTTATCAATTATCTTCTTGAATAAACAAACATTGATCCCAGAAGTGAATATAGACCCGAGAGAAAGAAAATGAGGAATCTTAAACACCATGAAGGTGTCATATAAACACTCAGAAAGTGCATATCAAAAGCTAGCAAATGAAGTATTGATATCCTTTAAATACCATAGAAGGTATAAGAATAATGGTAATTTTGGCAATTGAATTATCACCTAAATGCCAAATGTAAGACTGGATTTATTATTTAGTGGTACAATTAAAATCCTAAAGATTTGAAGAACATATAATTTGAAAATCCATTAAGGAAGAATTATAAGTATTCAAACTCTAGTATAAGATTGATACACTATCTAGAAGATATTGAACATTATAACTTATTTGCCCCCATAATCCTTTGAAAGGATTTATTTCCTTGGAGGATAAATTTTATTTGTTTTGCACAACTAATAAGTGGTTATTTATGCATGAAGCATATTGCTCTTGTTTATTCATGTTATAATTCATTGAATAATGGTAAGCCAACATTTTGGTATTATGGTACCGCATACCATTATAAAGCACACATTTATAAAAAAGTGTGGACTGAACAATGAAGTTCAAAGGATGGCTTTATGAGGGGGAATAATTTGAGTAAATCTACCTTAAAGATAATTAAAACCACTAGAA